GACTCCGTCCACAGTCGAAGTTTTCCATTTGTGCGAACGTATTTCGTGTTTTTTGGCTAGACGTTATGGCCTCGCAGTTCCGCAATGGCAGGCCTGAGGGGCCTATTTTTGCATGGCACTAACGTCTCAGAACCCCCAAGTTGTCCGGAAACTGTCTTCAATGAGAGTACGCCGCAGCGACGTACTGACGCATCAGTATTGCCACTGCAACTCAGTTTCTTATCGGAACCGCGCAAAAACATCCCCGTTTTGGGTCGGGTTCATACTGTGCCGGAAATTTTGGAACAGTTTCAACAAAGTATTCGCAATGTGCTGAAATTGTTCCTGAACTGTGGCATGTATGCGCTGCAGCCGTCCGCATGAGGATTTAAGCGACAGGAATTTGAGATTTTTGACCATTTCTCTTATTTTGGCCTTGTTTCTCCACCCCGCTTCCCCTTTTGATCAGTGAAACTCCGCATTTGAAGCGGGGTTGAAAACTGAGCGTTTTCTTACTCCCCGTACCCGACAAGACTTGTGTTTTTGTAGTCGTCCATTCTCTCCTCGTTTTATCTTTGCTCAGTCCTACTCTACTTGTTTCAGAAAGACGCTACGTTGGTTCCACAGCCATTTGTCTTGAATTAGGGCAACAACTCTAAGAATGTGGAACTTCTCTCTTGTTTTTCCAATAAATTTCGTTTTTGGCCGTTGTCGCTCCCTTTCCTTTTTCCATATCATTGCTTATTCGTTTCTTCTACCGCTTTCATGGGTAAACCTGCAAAGTTGAAGCCAGGATTGGACGCTGTCTGCTTCATGTATCCGCGAAAATGGGTCTTCGTGGGCTCGTCCATTTTTCTTCGTTACTTTTGTTCAAAATTACTTCATGCGTCCCAGAAAGCCGCCGTATTCCCTATTTGTATTGAGGTTGGCATAGACTGCTTTTCAGAACACATGAAGTTTTAAACCAAAATGAGGAACTGGAGAGCGCGAAGACCCATCTCCGCGGATACATGAAGCAGAATCTTCGCAGATTTTCTCATGAAAGAAGGAAGAACGATCAAGCAACCATGTTTTTTTTTACAAAACTGTTTATGCTATGAACAAATTCAATATTTCTGAGGTTCAACATCAAAAATTCACACTTTCCAACCAGTAAGAAAGAACAACGTCTGAGACCAGTATCATCAACCAAAATGACAAGAGCTAGAAACTTAATTTTCAGTATGCAGCATGATGTTCTGACCTAAGCATCACAATTCTACTCTCAATAACAACAGGTTTGGCATGGACTTCTATGTGGCTTGTTGCATTCAACTATATGCGAATGAAAAAATGAACAAATAGAGGAGAAAAGTAAACGGACAACGTCAACAGTAAGGCACAATTAACGTTCAGTTTTCTTCACATGTTCACGGACTGATACTGCAAAGCCAAAAAATGTGTACAAAATGCCACCAACAAAAGTCCAGAAATATCACTGAGTAGGTTGCTGCTTGAATTCGAACAAATTATTTTCGTTCATTCTATTCATACAGCTTCGGCAGAAAAAAGTATGGACCCGCAGTCGATATCACAAGTGGCGCTCAGCGTAGTGCCAACATTTGCTTGAATCGGCTCTTTAAGAATGGAGAATGCTCCACGATCTTGGCGATCAAATAGCTGCTTAGCTGCCACCAATACAGTACACCTTCGATGAGTCCAGCACTTGTGCACCGAACCTCAGATTTCTTCAACATTAGCTCTGTATCTTCTTCTCCCAAGTGTAAGAAAGCGAATTCATTGGAGCAAACATGGTGTTCAAAGGTAAAAATATCAATATCCCTGTATTCCAAAAGATTATATGTCCTGATAGGAGAAGGGTCTGCACCACAGAAAGCGTTAGATGCACTCTGGTCAACTTCGATAGACGGGAGGACGAAACAAGGACTCCATGCGCAGAAAGACGGTCCGTGAGAAATCCGCAATACTTCAAAGATGGTGGTATATCATTACTACACCGAAGGGACCGCAGCGAATTCAAAAACACTTCGCTCACAGACCCATCTGCGCGTATAGGCCACACTGATGCAAAGATCGCAGTTAGCTTATCTATCTCGCCTGATTCTTCTATGTCCTTTGGATCAATCAAGAAATGTGGTAAATTCCTCACAACATTGACTTCCTCATCGGTAAGATTGATATCCAAATTCCAGGAATATCTGCTGACAGAGGGTAGTAGGCGAGTGATGGCATAGAGAAGCATGTCATCGTTCACTGTTCGATAGTCTTGTTCACATCGTGTATTGAGCTCTCGATGAAGAAAGTCCTCAGGATTCATAAAGTTTTTCACAACCATGTCAAACCTCGTGCCTTTTAATGTCCATTTCCCAACCACTGTGTCACCTTCATGCACCCGCAAGGGAAACGGGAGTGGAAAGATTCCCTGCTCCCAGCAAGTGTTGTCTGACGTATCGATGTATTCGTTCGCCCATATAAGCGCTCTGAAATGCACCGAGGGCATGAAGTGTACCCGATGAAGTGACCGGAATCTGCAACCCCCGGAAACTCCATTGATGCAATCATGAAGTTGATTCACATTGCCAAA